CGCGCTGAGTCATGAACAAACCCGGGCACATAATTGCCTGTCACTGTGTGCTCTCAGCTCCCCTTTACTACCTCTCGCACCACTACCCTGTCTCAACACACCACACCTGAGCGCATCTGCGCCCCCGGCTCCGGGGGGACCAGTCAGTCTGTTTTGGCGTGAAGCTTGTTTGCTCTCGCTAATTCTATGGATGTGCGATGCGAGCCTGATTAGGACCCTGATACCTCGGTGAGACGAAGAAGTAGGGCCGACGGTAGGGGACGTCCAGCGGGCGGCGGCATACTTCTCTCCGGCCACAAGTGATCCGGTCGCAATCTCACGCGTTGGCGCGGACGACACAAGTCGCAGGCGAACTCGAGGAGCACGGTGATCACTCCACCTTCCGCCGAATAAATACACCGTCTACATTTAGGCACGTGACTTAAGGGTTTCTCGCTCGCCGAATCACTGTCAATACAACTGGTCCACTCCATGAATTTAGGAACAAGTGATGCGCCACCAGACAGACCGACCCCAACGTGCTCGCCGTCCCGTCTCGCCGACCCACCGACGCACCCGTGCGCCCGTGTGCCGTGCCCTGCAAACAGCGACCGTTTCGCTTGTTTATTCTAATTAATGTCTGTGCGCGCCCCACCGTTGCCATAGTCGAATAATCACCCTTTCCGCCGCCGCGGGCCAACGGTGATGAATTTCCTACCTCAACCCACATCGCATTTGCCACCATGCGTGCGCGCCACTTCGCAAACTGTTTCTCGACTCTTTGCTTTGTGGCCGCTCGTCATATTGCCCAGTTTCATTTACCACCCTTTCATTAGCGATGCCAATAGGTGCAGGCGCAGTCTGGTGTCCACCGAGTCGTAGTGCCTTGAAACTCCTGGATGATAATGTACTGGTTTGACGCTATCCTAATTGACGGGAGCTGCTTGCCGACCCGTGGAACGCGCGCACGTTCCCTCCATTGGAGTGCCGTGCCAGCCAGTGCGAATATCGAGGGCCGTATCCTACTTTTCCTCCCCATTGGCGGCGCGAATCAGCTGGCGCCGAGTTGCCTTGCTCCAGTGGGGAATAAGTGTTTTTTTAACCCTAAATTTTTGCCGTTAGGAGCAAGAAATAGCGTTAATTTCCCACATCGTTCTCAGACGAACTTCGCGCAATAATATAGGGTATGCGGCTACCTTCGCCTTTCCGGTGGCCGCTAGCTGGACAATTCTCATCTTTTTACGAAGTCTTTCCTCGCTAAACCAGATCCGGCGCACGGGTGTATCGCCGCGCCCACAGCTCACTTTCGGGCCACGGTCTTTCGTGACTAATTTTCGATCGGATTACGAATGATAGTAAGGTTTGGCCGAAAGTGCACCAAGTATATTATGGAGTTAATGGAGTACAAAGGTGAGGTGGAGACAAGCGGGTTTCGGAGTGGTAAAAGCAGAAAAAATGTTCTCTCAGAAGATTGGTGAGATCCATGGCCTTCTTCTTGGGGCACCAACGGCCACTAGTACTGGGCCGTCAGTATCCGCTCTCTTGGTATCAGTCGCGAATTGAATTATCTCTCATTGAGAGTTTATGTATCTAGAATTAGTCTCATAGGTAAGTACAGCCTTATAAGTGCAGTGCGTGCAGCATGAAACTACTGTGACCCTATTACGTCGACTTTGCGTTGTGTCATTTTCCCAAACCAGATTCAGTTAAACCCCAATGAGATAAACAGATCCAAAAGCAACTTAATTAATGTTAATTCGGATCATAAGTATTCTGAGATGTAATTACATTAAATAGAGACAGACGCACACTAATATTTATGTTTTAGTTTATATATTGGCTTATAATATCGTGAAAAAAGAGTTTATCCAATGTATGTCGACCTCATGCTGGTGAAATGTAAGTAAATAGAATCGAGTACTCAGCATGCCTCCCCCGTAAATATCCGGTGCGCGCGTCTGTCAACGAATATATATTATACATAACAGCAATGGATAAGGTTTCCGTCAATCTCCTTTCAAAGTAATGAGTTACCAATGTTCTGAAATGTGGTAAGCGAGTAGTAAATGATATAACGTTCAATAGTGGGTTAATATTGATCGAGTACAATACAGTCCTATTAACATATTCGCATAAGTTTACTTCTGCAACACAACGCAATTAACTCGCTTAGCCATAATCTCTATCTGAACTGCGATTATATCAAATGTGAAATAACCATCTCTTCCTACTGAACGCCGTTAACTGTCAGAATTGATTGTACAAAAAACATGAAAGAAAAAAAAAACAAAAAAAAAAAAAAAAAATCATGGAAGAAACTTGTGAACCAAATGTGAGAAAAGATTGAATTATTGAATTGTACTCGCCGAGAAGCATAGTCTAACTATCTCCACTATAGGATATGATATCGGACTATTACCTAATCTATCATTGGTCCCCTCTCTGATCATTGAAACAGCGTGCGCTGAGCTTATGCATTACACTATTATTATTGGAATTTAAAAATTATTATTGCAGTTATTATTAGTGTATTTTATGTATATTATCATCCCATTTCTAGTCGAGATTTTTACGAAAAGTATTTGTTTCCTATTTAAAGTGTGAAATATTTTATATTAAAACAATAAAATAAATACCACCTGCCCTCTGTAACGTGTTGCCAAATATGTAGAAACATTAAACTTCTCGGACCGTGTGTGTCTGACCGAGATCAATTGCACCCCCCGGTCAAAATGAGCATCTCCGCGTACCTGTCTGTAAGGAAACTTACTAGCTTAACATTACTTCTAACGCTGTACACATCATATCTACTTCATTTCCACACTTAAATATGATTTGCGTCTCTATACTATCCATATTTTATATATATATAACTGCAATACCCTGATTACATCTATCTCCATATTATTAATAACAAGAAAGCCCATTGCTGCCACCGAAATACCTTTGGCAATACTATGCAACAATCGTACTTAGCTTATGATTCATACTAAGCTCCAAGCTGCCTCTGCAGATGGCCCGCTCGCTATTCCGTTGCTCACTATTACTCTGTCTCACACCTTCTATCTCATCTACACTTCTCAGCAGACGCCTGTTCTAATACAGGTATCTATGAAAATGCGAAATCGTCATTTGCTTACCCACCCGGGCGACGTGAAGACGCACGCACGGTTTGGGCGAGCGGCCACATTGCTCGTGGAAGTCCGGATCATTGGCCGAGGCACACAGCAAGATGCAGAGTGTTGAGCGCATCATCGATCTATATGCACCCTGCGCAAGGCCGAACGACGCCGCACCCATCCCACCGCCCGCCCCGCCCCGTGACCCGAAAGCGCTCCGTCGCATCTCGGCCCGCCACCTGCAGACCTAATCCGCCAGCACATCCCGCCCCGAGACCAACATTACCTCCGATGCCCGTCGCAGCGCTCTCTCCCTCCGAGCGCCCCCCACCATACTCGGACTGCTAGACGCACAGCGCGGTTCACATTCTACATACTTTCCGCAGCGCCCGCCGGCGCCGGGCGTGAGATTCTCTTAGGGTCGCTAGCTCCCCGCACGCCCCACCCCGCTGGCCGCGCTGAGCGTGGCTCAGTCGTAGGACTGTTGTGTATGACGGTTTCGTGAGGGAAGGGGAGGAGCGAGGACGCGGAGCGCCGAGGGCTCAGGGAGCGCCATTGCGCCGCGGTCACGGTATGCCGTCGCCTCGAGTAAGCCCGCCCCGCCTCGTTAACGCCCTCGTCGCGCGTCGACTGGCGCTGTCCTCGCCACCCTTGCCCTTGCCTCCCTGTTAACCGTAGCTCGCTGCTGTCCTCGTCGTAGCCTCTGCCCCTCATCCTCACTTCCGCCCTCAACGCGCGTGCTCCGCTGGCGCGTCCTCACTAACGCCTGCGCGAGCCCTTCCTTCTGTCCTCCTTTCCTCTCGCCTCCTCTCATTTCCGCTCAGATAGCCCCTCTTTACTGCTATCCTCCGTTTCCCAACCCCTCTTCCCCTTCCCGCGCTGTCCGGTCCTTCTCGGACACCTCGCCAAATCCCTTGCCCCTGTCTACTTCTGTATTCGCCTGGGCAGCGTCCTCAACTTCACGACTGCAACGC